TTTTTTGTCTTTTAGAGACAGGGCCTCGCTATGCAGTTCAGGCTGGCCTTGAGCTCACTTTGTAGCCCAGGCTGGTCTCGAACTCACAAGAATCCTCCTGCCTCAGCCTCCCGAGTTCTGGGATTACAGGCGTGTGCCACCACACCCGGCCTTTTTTTTTTTTTTTTTTTTTTTTTTTTTTTTTTTTAGACAGCATCTTACTCTGTATTCCAGTCTGGACTTGAACTCACTGTGTAGCTCAGGCTGTCCTCAAACACATGGTGATCCTGGTGCCTCAGCCTCCTGAGTTCTGGGATTATAGGCATGCACCACCACACTGTGTGATGTAGTCCGTGGGCAGGGTCTGCACTTCATCTAGAGTGTAATGGGGAGCCACGGGAGGAGTCTGAGGAGGGGAGGCTCACGATGTGATTTGACATTTGGTGTGGGGAAGGCTGCTTTGGCTTCTCTGTGCAGAACAGACTGCTAGGGGGTCGTGAAGATGCTGCCCCAGAGACAGGCGGCAGAAGGCTGTCACCGGGTTGCCCTGATGCAGGGCAGGGCAGGAGGGATGGAGAAGAACGGGTGGATGGGAAAGGCGCTTAGGACAGAGCACCGGCTGGAAATAGAAATATTTGGGATGTGGGGCTGGGTGTGGTGGGTGCTCAGACCTGTAACCCCAGATCTTGGGAGGCTGAGGCAGGTGGATCACAAGTTGGAGCTCAGCCTGGGTGACACAGTGACTTAGTGAGACCCTGTCTCGAAAAAATAAAGATGCCCTAGATTCAATCCCTAGTACTGGAAGGAGAGAAAAAAAAAGCCAGACAGAAAGTCCCTTTCTTTATGCTCCTCCCTTCATTCAGAGCTCTGCCTGACGACACCCCTCTCCAGAGAGGCCCCAGACAATTGTTCTCCATCCCCTTATGCCATGGCTGCTATAACAGGTGCCCACAGACCAGGCGTCCTTAGACAACTTAACATTTCTTCTCTCTCAGTCCTGGAGGCCAGAAGCCTGAAATCCACGCTCCCTCTGCAGGTTCCAGGGGAGATGGCTTCCTGCCTCTTTCCACTTCTGCTTCCGGTGGCTCCTTGCTTCCCATCACCCGACCTCTGCCTCCACCGTCACGGGCCTTCTCCTCTCCTGTGTGACTCGGTTTCCCCTTGCCTCACCTTGCCTTTCCTTTTCTCCTTCACTTTCCTTCACCCTCCCCCTTCTCCTCCCTCCTTCCCACCTTCTCTTCCTTCCCTCCTACCTTTCTCTTTTGGTGGATGGAACCCAGGGGCATCACACTGAGTTATACCCCCAGCACTTTTTATTTTTATTTTGGGATAGGATCTTGCTAAACTGCTAAACTGCCTAATTGTCTAGGGTGGGCTTGAACTCAGTATCCTCCTGCCTCAGCCTCCAAGAGGGATAACAGGCATGCTTGCAGCACCCGGCCCTTGGCTCCCTCCCTCCCTTTCTTTGTCCCACCCTCCTCCCTTCCCTCCCTTTCCTGTTTCTTTCTTTCCATTTATTTATTTTTTTCTTTACTTTTTCTTTCATACCAGGGATTAAACCCAGAGCCTTGGCACAGAGCTACAACCCCAGCCCTTACATTTATTTATTTTTGACAGAAGGTCTCCATGTACTTCAGGCTGGCCTCAAACTCATGACAATCCTCTTCCCTCAGCCTCCTGAGTGCTGAGGTTACAGGCACCCAGGGTTTATTTTTATTTTGATTTTTTAAACTTTAAGATAGGGTCTTACTGAATCACTAAGTTGCCCAGGCTCGCCTCGAATTTACGACCCTCCTGCCTCTGAGCGCTGAGATTACACGCGTGTGCCACTGAGGCCAGATTCTTTCTTTTTTTTTTTTTTTCCGGTACCAGAAATTGAACTCTCGACCTCGCGCTTGCCAGGCAGGCGCTGTGCCGCTGAGCTAAATCCCCAGCCCCGTGCTCCTTTCTTGTAAGGGCACCTGCGGTCATGTTTCATTCCCACTGGGATGGTCACACTCTCCCTGACTCAGGGCCCTTTCTACACCGCATCGGAGAAGGCTTTGCCGTAGGAGGCCCCGCAGTGTGTGCAGATCAGGGAATGGGATCTCTCTGGGGAACCTCAGCCCAAATGCCACTCTCTGCTCCGCCACATACTTTAGATCAGGTTCTGCCACCACTCTAAGTGATCTCCTCCCTCCCTCGAGAGCCAGGGTCCTGCCTGTCCCCAGCGCCTAGACTGAGTCACACACAGCTGGGTTTAGAAAGTATCTGCTGAGTGCTGAAGAAATGCAGGCGGGGCTTCCCTGAGGGCGTGGCTTCCCTGAGGGCGTGGCCGGCTGTGCTCAGAGCCAGATCACTGTGAAGGGCGCCCCAGCTGCTAGAGAGAGTGGCTTGCTACTGTCCAGTTGTTAAAGATGGAAGCCCTCAGGGCCGCTTCCTGTGGAGATGTCACCTGGTCCACGCAGCACAAGCAGCTGGTGGACATCAGCCTCCTCAGTTTGGAGAATCTGACTTTGGGACTTGGAGGGCCTCATGGGACTTGGAGGGCCTCATGCTTTTGGTTTTCAGGGTTGCTTAGTCACTACCCCTATGCAAATCCCAGGAACTTGTAAAGGGAGTATCACCTACTCCAGCCGGTCTCGACTTATTTATTTATTTATTTTTTTGGAGGGAGGTTTGCTGAAGTTCAGGCTGGCCTTGAACTCACTATGTAGACTCGCCTCTGACTCCCGGCGGTCCTCCTGCCTCAGCCTCTCCAGTAGCTGGAATGACGGGTGTGAACCACCACGCTTGGCTAGAAAGTTTTATCTACTGTGGTAAAACACAAACACGTGGCATTCACCCTCGTACCTGACTTAGGTGTGTAGCTTGATGCGTGAAGAACATTCTTATCACTGTGGCCATCACCACCCATCCCAGAACTGTTTCTGTCCAGTAAAACTGAAACTCTGTCCCCACTAAACACTCCCTCCCCACGCCCCCTCTCCCAGCCCCACCCCTGCTGACTCTCTGTGTGGATTTGATGGCTCTAGGAGTCTCATATAACCGGGACCACGCCATGAGGGCATGGTGGCACACCTCTGTAATCCCAGCACTCGGGAGGCTGAGGCAGGAGGATCACTTTGAATTTGAAGCCAGCCTGGGCTACAAAGTGAGTTCAAGGCCAGCTCAACTGCATATTGAGACTCTGTCTCAAAAAAGAGGAGGTTGGGTGGGTTAGGGATGTAGCTCAGTGTAAGGCTCTTGGGTTCAATCCCGAGTACCCCCTACACACACAAAAGAATGAAATTCCCACACATGCTTAAACATGCGTGAAAAAAAAATGGATGAACTTTGAGAACATCATGATAAAAAGCCAATTACAAGACCAATGTTGTATGATTTTCTTTTCTTTCTTTCATTTTTTTGAAACAGAGTCTTGCTCTGCAGTTCAGACTGGCCTCGAATTCACAGTGATCCTCCTGCTTCAGCCTTCCAAGTGCTGGTATTACAAGCATGTGCCACCAAACCTGGTTCCCCCACCTTTTTTAAACTTTGAGACAGGGTCTTGATAAGTTGTTAAATTGCCAAGGCTAGGCTCAACCTTCTTCATCCTTTCAGAGTGCTGGAGTTACACAAGTGTACCGCTACACCTGCCCCCCTTTTAAGGCTGAATAATGGTCTATTAAATGGATATATCACATTTTGCTAAGACATTCAACTGTTGATAGATAGGTGGGTTACTTCCACCTTTTGGCTATTGTAAATTGCATTGCTATGAACCTGTACAAATATCTCTTTGAGATCTCCTTTTTACTTTTTCATGGTACATATGCAAAGGTAGAGTTGTTGGGTCATATGATAATTCTACGTTCAAGTTTTTGTTTGTTTGTTTTTTTAGATAGAGTCTAAGTTGTCCAGGCTGACCCAAACATGTGATTCTCCTGCCTCAGCCTCCCAACTGCTACAATTACAGGCCTATGCCACTATGACTGGCCTTTATGTTTCATATTTAAAAGAATAGCCAAGTGTTTTCCACAGCAAGTGTACCATTTTACATCCCCACTGATGCTACACAGAGGTGCTCATTTCTTCACATCTTCACCAAAACTTTTCTTCCCCTGTTCTGGAGATGGAACCCAGGGTCTCGCACATGGTAGGCAAGTGCTCTGTCACTGAACTATACACCTCAATTCTTTTAATTTTTTATTTTGAGACAGGGTCTTGCTACATTGCCCATGCTGGGCTTGTACTTGTGACCTTCCTGCTTCAGCCTCCAAGTGGCTGGGATGATAAGTCTATGTCACTCTTTTTGTTTGTTTTAAATAGTAGCCATCCTAGTGAGTGTGCATGGAGTCTGTGTTATAATCAGACCATTCATCCCAACTGGGACTTGTGAATTTGGTGAAGACCCAGCCAGCTGATCTCCTAGGATGTGGTAACCAAGGGAAATTCTGCTTCTGCCTGGATAATGTGGTTTGGCACTGACTGGGGGAAGATGAAGTGAATCTGAGCCTTAGCAGAGGGTACAATCATGGGATGGGTGGTCCTGAGGACTCAGAAGACTGGGAGGCAGAGGTTCCTGTGGCTGTGTTGCTAAGGAGGTAGGAACACTGGGGAGGGTAGCCGAAGGAGAAGAGGGTAGAACCCAGATTTAAGAATCTTCTTGGGGGAGTGGTGGCACATACCCGTAATCCCAGCCCTCGGAAGGCTGAGGCAGGAGGATCACTTCGAATTCAAGGCCAGCCTGGGCTCCATAGTGAGACCTTGTTTCAAAGAAAAGAATCTCCTTGGGGTGACCTGGGAATCACAGGCCTCCAACATGAGCGCGACAGGACAGAGACTGGGCCCTTGGGGGATGCTCAGGGACCTTTGCCAGCCCCCGCCTCCTCTGGATGGAGGAGCTGAGCCTGGACAGCATGGTAGGACCTACTTCTGCGGACTGGCGTGGTTTCCCTGGGGATGAGGGTTTCATGGTTTGGAGTGCGTGAGCGGCACCCTGAACGCTTTGCTGTGCTCTGCTGGCTGCTTTATTTACGGTACTGTCTTGGTTCCTTTAGGAGCTGACTCTCAAAGAAAGATTTGGATGCTGGGAACTCGTTTGCGAAGCAATTGCAGAAAGGACCAGTAAGGACGAAGGAACTTAAAGGAACGGAGAACAGGTAGTTGGACCAATGCATGTGCACACACATTCAGGGCAGCATATTTCACAGCAGCCCAATGGCAGAGAGGGCCCACATGGCCATCAGCAGAGGACTGGGTCAGTGGAAACATGGCCCAGCCACGCTGTGGAATATTACTCAACACCAGAAGCAATAAAGCACTGATCCCTACCAGAGCCAGGGCGAAACCTGCGCACATTAAGTGGAGTCAAAGAAACTGGGCTTAAAAGGCCACATAGGGCACAACTCTTGTGCATGTGAAATGCCTGGAATAATTACATCCTTGGGGCTGGGAAGGAGATCAGGGTTTGCCAGAGGCACTGGGGAGGGAAGGACGGGGTGTGGAATCCGAGGCCGTCCTGGGCTACATGGTGAGTTCTAGGCCAGCCTGAACTGCATAGGGAGACCCTGTCTCAAAAAAACCAATAATTAAAAACAAAGCAAAACAAAAACAATCTGTGACTAAAGCAAAAAAGAGCTGAATGCAGTGGCGCGCAGCTGTAATCACAGTGACCCAGGAGGTTGAGGGAGGGGAATCACAAGTTCAAAGCCAGCCTAGGAAATTAGTGAGCCGCTGTCTCAGTACAATTTTTTTTTAAAGCGCTGGGGGTGCAAATGGTAAAGCACACCTGGGTTCAATCCTTTTAAAAAAAATAAAAAAGGATGCAAACATCACGGCCGAAGGCACAGAGTGGGTCTCACGCATCTGTGCGGCCAGCCGCCTGAGGCCACTGCTGGGGGTGAACTGGGACCAGCTGGGTGCGTCTGTCACCGGCGCCTGCTGCATGTCAGGCGCACTACGCCGGACCCCACGGGTCCTCCAGCGTTTGGCGCACAAGTGGCTGGGCAGCGGGCACGCCCAGCACCGACGCCTTCCGCACCGTGTCTCCTAGGATGCTGCCCATCATGCACCACCTGCTGGACCTCCTGGGGCTGGAAAAGACAGCGTTCCGCGCCTACGCCGTGTCCGCGCTCCTCCTCTTGCTGCTCTTCTCCTTCTTCCGCCTGCTGCTGCAGTTCCTGCGCGTCTGCTGGGCCTTCCACGTCACCTGCCGCCGCCTGCGCTGCTTCCGCCAGCCACCGGGGAAGAACTGGCTGATGGGTCACCTGGGCATGGTGAGTGTGATGGGTAGCGCCGGGCAGCGCCGGACGCGTACGGGACGGGGCCTGCTGGCGTCCAAGAATCTGCTTGGCATCACGCATAGATTCTTCCTTGTAATTATTTTTTTTTTAGAGACAGGGTCTCAGTTTGTAGTCCTGGCTGGCCTGAAGTCATGGAGAACTTCCTGCCTCAGCCTCTGGAGTGCTGAGATTAAAAGCATGTGGCATGTCCTACCACACCTGGCTGCATTTTTTTTTTTTTTTTTTTTTGAGCAGAAATTGAACTCAGGACTATTGCACCTGCCCGGCAGGCACTGTGCCACTGAGCTATATCCGCGGCCCTGCCTTTCATTTTTTAAACAGTTTTTATTAGTATGTGTTTGCAACATATAATAATTACATTCATCTTGGGAATTTGAGAACTATATATATTACATCTGGATCATTTTCACTGTTCCCCGCCCCCACTTCCTCCTTCCCCAGGTCCCCTTCCCATGTCTTTGATTTTTTTTGTTGTTTTTGTTTTGAGGCTGGGTCTCACTGTGTAGTCCAGGCTGGTCTTGAACTCACTATGTAGCCTAGGGTGACCTTGAATTTATAGCGATCCTCCTGCTTCAGCTTCCTGAATGCTAGGATTGCAGGCGCGTGCCACCATACCCAGCTACATTTCATTTTTAAAAATTTATGCATATGTGCCAAGCATGATTCCAGGCAAATATGAACTCATTTCATCCTGTCAACAGTTCTGGGAGGTAAGATCCATGTCTGTTCCCACTGGGACCTGAGAATAGAGAGGCATGGAGTGGTCAAGCAGCTGGCCCTACGCCATGCAGCAAGTAAGCGGCTGAGCTGGGGTTCAAACCTAGGCTGTCTCCCCCACTCCCTCAGCCACCTGGAGTTTTTAGATGGGACAGGTGGGACTTTCCCGAAAGGCATCCAGAGGTCAGAGACAAAGCCAGATATTGAGGCAGGGAGGCTTGGTGGACCTGGACTCCAGCCTCTGCCTGCCTACTGGCCTCACCCGGCCCCTTCCAGGCCTCAGTGAAATTCAGGGACAGTTGCTGAAGGCTTAGCTGGCCCAGGTCTCTTGCTGAGCTTTGAGGTGGCCTTTGGAGAAGGCAGTGGTCATCCTCTTGTATTTTGGAGCCCTGGGTTCAAGACCTGCCTCTACCATGTACTGCTTGTGTAACTTTTGGTGGTGGTGGGGTAATGGGGGATGGAATCCAGAGACTCTGCTTTTAAGAGCTCCAGCCCTTTTAAGATTTTGAGGCAAGGTCTTGCTAAGTTGCCCAGGCTGGTCATGTTCCACCTCTCCTGGCTCGCTTTGTGTGACCTTGAGCAAGCTATTAACCTCCCTGTGCCTCCGTCTCCCCTCTAGCCTATAATACATTCTTGATCATCTCTTGATAATACCATAATAGTTTTTGGTAGTCTCGTGGGACTGTTCTGTGGCTTCCCTGGAAGCATGGTCGTGGCATGTTTGGTGCCCACTGAGCCTGATACACAGGTGGAGGATGTGTGTGCTCGACTGCTGGCTTCTACAGAGACCAGAGGATTGGATGATTCTAGAAATATTTAACGTATTGCTTGGCTTGGGTTGAACATCTTAGAAGGAATAAGACACGGATTCCCACTGAATAGCTCAAAGAACTTTTTGTTTTTGTGGTGCTAGGGATGGAGCCAGGGCCTCTTGCCTGCTAGGCGAATGCTGTACCACTGCGCTCGGTGCCGTCTCATGTAAGGGACTTCAGCATCCGCGGAGTTTGGTTATCCACAGGGTGGGTTACAGAACCGGTTCCCTGGAGACCGAGGGATGCCTGTACCAAAGGCTGGGTGGCTTAGGCAACAGAAATGTGCTCTTTCCTAGTTCTGGAAGCCGGAAGTCTGGGGTCAACCTGCAGGGTTGAGTTATTCTAAGAGCCCCTGCCGTGACCCTCCCTGGCTCTCCACTACCAGCAAGAGAACGGTTGGTGTTCAAGGCCCTTTATTCCCTGAGCCTTGCCTTCCTCACCAGTCTGCCCACCCTCGTGCAATTCCAAAGGTTGGCTTTCTGCTTCAGCAACAGGGCTCCAACTCGCTGCCTCCATGGCCTTTGCCAAACGGTGCCTTCTGTCCAGAATATTCTTCCCTGGTCGATGAACTACTCAATTTTCACGCCCCATTTCCACGGTCCTTACTCCAGCAAGCTCTCTCTGGCTTTGATGGTGGTTTCGGAGGCAGCTACCAGTCTCTGGTGTTCTGGGCAGTTGGCCAGGGCTGGCTCCGCCTGCAGCCCAGCATTGACATTGTGGGTACAGCCCATCTTCTGATCCCAGGAGGTCTGGGTGAGGCCACAGTTTTCCCTGGGTGTGGACAGGCTCGGGGCTACCCCTGGAGAGGAGATGCCATAGCCAGAGAAGAGACTTGTTCATTTGTTCATGTAATAATTGCTGGGCCTTATTCCTGGCTGGCATTGGGTTAGGCTCCTTTGTATCTTTGCTGAAATATTTGTGGAGCTGGGTGTGGTGGTGCCTGCCTGTAATCCCAAAATGCTGGGAGACCGAGGCAAGCAGATTGCAAGTTCAAGCCCAGCCTGAACAACTGAGTGAGATCCCATCTCAAAAAAAAAAAAAAAGTGGTGGTGATGATGGACCTGGGCACATAGCCTAATGGGAAGGGCCTGGGTTCAGTTTCCACCCGCTACCCCCACAAGATGGATCGATGGATCGTCCCTATTTTATGGATTCCCTTTTATGGATTTGAGCTCAGACAGATTAAGTAACTTGCCTACATTTTCATAGCTGCTGCGGGTGACTTTGAACTCAGGTTCGTCTGACACGGAGCCTGGTGTCAGCACGCTGCAGATAGCATGAGTTTTGGAACTGGGTGGCCTGTGTTCGGATCCTGGCTTTGCCACTGTAGCGGTTGATGCCAGGGACTGCCCACATCTTTTTGGCCCATTTCTGGGTGCAGTGGTGACACTTCTGGCTATCATGGCTCCATTTCCAGCTGTGATCCCTCCTTTCAGGCTACCAGCACCTGCCTTCTAGGAACTTTCCAGAGCTTGGGATTTCCACCTCCCTGTGGCCGCCCTCAGCCTATGACTGCTGGGCATTGGTGGGTAAACACCCCAGCCCCCTCACCCTTGGGAGAGGACTCAGAGGTCCACTGTCCTGCCCATCCTGCACAACTCCCCCATGCGCCTGAGCCAGGGGCCCTGTAGTGGTACCATCCACCACCTATCCTTTCCTGGGTGCCTTGTTTTCCATCCCTATTCATGCTTCGGGGACCGTTTCCTCAATAAACTACCTGCCCTAGCAGCCTTGCCTCAGGACCTGCTTCTGAGGGACCCCAAACAAGGACAGTCGCTCACTTACAACTGCAGATGATTCATTCGACCTTTCCGAGCACACAGCAGCAAGGAGCTCATTGGGTACCCGTGGAGTGGGTCAGTCTACACGCAGTTGCCACGCTGTGCCCGACACAGAGCGAGCACATGTAGATGTGAAGGGAATGGTACTAGTTCTACAGGTAGTTGTGCTGGGCATGGAACCCAGGGCCTTCTGCATGCTGGGCAAGCACTCTTTCAGGGTAGAACATGGCATCAGCACTTAAAAAAAATTTTTTTTGAGATAGTCTCATTATGTTGTCCAGGCTGGCCTTGAATTTGCAGTCTACCCGACTTGCAACCAGCTGGGATTATAGGCATGTGCCACCAAGGTCCACTGATATTATTTATTTTGTTGTTTTGAGATAGAATCTCACTATGTAGTTCAGGCTGGCCTTGAACTCACTAGGTAGCCCACCCTGGCCTCAAATTCCCAGCAATCAGCCTAACTGAGTGCTGGGATTGGAGGACTGCATCACCATGCCTGACATCCACTTTTTTTTTTGGTACTGGGACTTGAACTCGGGACTGTGCTCTTGCCAGGTAGGTGCTGTGCTGCTGAGCTAAATCCCCGGCCTGACAGCTACTTTTTAAACAGCGAGTATTCAATAAATAACAACCCTTATCATTATTGACTTTCCTATTACTATTTGTGTGTGTGTGTGTGTGTGTGTGTGTTGCTCAGGATGGAACCCAGGGTCCAGGCAAGCACTCTGCCACTGAGCCACACCCCCGGGTGCCCACCCCTTTGTTTTCTTTAAGTGACAGGATCTTGTGGTGTTGCCTAGGCTGACTGAAGTGACCCTCCTGCTTCAGCCTTCCAGTAGCTGGGACTGTAGGCATGTGCCATCGTGCCAAGCTTATCTTTCTTTACTGAACCAGCCATGTGTCAGGCCCACGCTGGGCTCTCGCTCTCTGACTTACTCCGCCGGGCTGCCCTCGGAGGAAGCACTGGCTGTGCCCCACTTCTCAGAGGAGGAGGTGGAAGCTCAGAGAGGTGCAGCCAGCTGCCCACAATCGCTTAGCATTTCTGGGATTGCTCTGAGGCAAGGGGAGGCGGCAGGAGGGAGGACACAGAGGAGCTGGGCTGGGCACGTTCTCACTGTCCCCGCCTTCTCTCCTTAGTACCTTCCAAATGAGAAGGGCCTGCGAGATGAGAAGAAGGTGCTGGACACAATGCATGACGTGCTCCTGGTGTGGGCTGGGCCTGTCCTGCCAATATTGGTTCTGGTGCACCCTGATTACATCAAGCCTGTTCTGAGCGCCTCAGGTAGGTGAGCTGAGCCTCTGAGCAGTGACTGAACCCTCAGGTCTCACACTCTATCAGAGCTTCTAGACAGGTGGACTCTCCAGAAGAAGGGTCATTTGAGTAGGGCTTTGGGGAACGAGTAGGAGTTCACCAAAGCAGGAATGGCAGTGCACATAATGGGAACAATGTGGACAAAACTGTGACAGTGCCTAAGAGACCCATGAACACTGAGGTGTTATCCACTGACACAGAAGTCAGAGCCAGACATGTTTGGGTAGGCACTTGTTCACCTAAGGTTTTGTTAGGAGGTTGTTGCTCAATCCCAGGTCATGGCATTCCTGTTCTTTGGGTTGTGGTATTTCTGCCCTGACCAGGGATTTTGGTGACCCATCCTGCTGGGTGCTCCTGTGCTTCCTGCCTGGTCTGGAAGGAGATGTGGAAGGATTGTTGCTCTTTTCTGCAGTCCACACCTTTCCCAAGGTGTGGCAATTCCCAGGGTGTGCTTGGCAAGCTCTTACTCATCCTGCAGCACCCAGCACCAATGATCCCTTCTCCAAGGAGTCTTGCCAGACTCCACTGAGAGAACATGGCTCTGTCCTCTGTACTTTCCCACCCTTAGCGCTAACCTTTTGGTGCTGGGTGTGTCTGTGTCCCTCTCTGTCTCCCTTGCACGTGAGGCCCTGGACCCTGGCATGGCCTTCATGGAGCTGAGAGTCTCAGAGGCTCAGGTGGTGCTGGAGAGTGGAGGGATGGGAAAGAAAAGGTGCCAGGAATTTTAGGGTGTCTGGCCCAGCTTGGGCCTCTGCAAACTCGCATCTGGAGACCATCTTCTGGCTGTCACCCAGGGCTGCCATCCCTCCCACCCAACTGTGCCTCCCCACTTCACCCCATCATTGTATTTTGTTTGAGACAGGGTCTCACTGTGTGGCTCAGGCTGGCCTTGAACTCATGGCAATCCTCCTGCCTCAGCCTCTGGAGTGCCGGGATTACAGGCATGCGCCATCATACCTGGCTATGTAGCCTCTTAGTTTCTGATCTGCAAAATGGGAGCTGTTATGAAGGATAAATAATAGAATGTGGGTGCCGGGATATGGCTTAGTGGTAGAGGGCGTGTCCAGCATGTACAAGACCTGGCTCCATCCCAAGTACCAAAATAAATAATGCAGTGTGTATAAAATTAAGGCTTCTACTTTTTCTTTGGTTTTGTTTTGTTTTCGGCAGAACTGTGGATTGAACCTGGGACCATTGCACTGAGCTGCATCCCCAGCCCTTTTTATTTTTTATTTTGAGGTTGCTAAGTTGCCCAGGCTGGGCTCAAACTTGTACTCCTCCTGCCTCAGCAGCCCATAGTGCTGGGATGACAAGCGTGCGCCAGCACCCCTCTCCTTTTCCCCTTCTTTCTCCTACCTCCTTCCCCCTTCTCTTTCTCTTCCTCTTCTTCCTCATGCTCTTTCTCCTTCCTCGTCCTCCTCCTCCCTGGAGCACCAGTCTCCTGAGCTGCATGCCGCCTGGGCGTGAGTCTCCAAGCAGCACCCCTCCCCCGCGTGGCCAGGGCCTGCACGTAGCAGACCCTCAGGCTCTCGCTTCCCTGTCAGGACGGCGGGGCGCTGGGCCTCTCCCACCGGAGGAGCCAGACTGGGAACTCTGGCGGGGAGCGGGTGGGGCGCTGAGTCAGTGCCTCCTCGCGGTGGCCGCTGCGGTGCCTGGAGTCGGACTGGCCCTGCTCCAAGTCGCGGCCTCCACCCTCCCAGGCCTCCTGGGGCCACACCTGTGTGACTGTTGCTCCGCACCTACAGGCCCGCTGCGTCGCGAGGAAGGCAGGGGGCCTCCCGGAACCTCGGCCTCCTCTCTTATGGGCATTCGGGAGAAAATAGACCAAAGCTTCACGGGGGCGGAGTCGAGGCCTATAAGCGTGTAATTATGGCTTGTGTTTTATGTGCTCTTTTACGAAGGAGGAATTCACACCACATACAATTCATCATTTTAAACGAACACCCGCTGGTATTTGGGGGTATTTACAAGGTTGTGCAGCCACCAAACTTTCTCTACTTTCAAGCTTTATTTTGCCACCTCATAAAATGCTCCAAGCCAAGGTAACTCCTTCTGTGTCCGCGCTGCCCCTGTTCTGGTTGCCTGCTTTCTGTCTCTATGGTTCTGGGTTCTGAGCTCTGCACGGCTCTTAGCCTCCGGCACCGCGGCCTTTCATGTCTGGCTTCTCTTTTTTTTTGTTTTTGTTTTTTTTTTTCCCCCGGGTACCGGGAACCGAACTCACGACCTTGGGCTTGCCAGGCAGGCTCTGTGCTGCTGAGCTAAATCCCCAGCCCCCGTGTCCGACTTCTCTGGCAGGCATCGTGTTCTCCTAGCTCCCCTGCACCGAAGGACAGTGCTGTTCCTTTCACAGCTGAGGGATACTGCATTCTACGGAGGGACCACGGTTTGAGTACCCACTTATCCACGGCCTTGTGCCCCTGCTTCGGCTGCTGTGAATAAGGCTATCACAAGCATCCATGCACAAGTTTTGGTCTGGCCCTATTTCTCTTTTCTGTTTTCACACTTTTCTTGTTCTCTCTCTTTTGATTTTTTTTTTGAGACAGAGTCTCATTATGTCATTCAGGCTTTGGTCTTGAACTCACTATGTAGCCTAGGCTGGCCTCCAATTTGCTGTGATCCTCTTGCCTCAGCCTCCCAAGTGCTGGGATCACAGGTGTGCACCCTCACGCCGGGCTTTTTGCTTTACTTTGCTTTGCTTTGCTTTGCTTCGCTTCGCTCCCCTCCCCTCCCGTTCCCTCCCTGCTTCCCTCCCTTCCTCTGTTCCTTCTTTACTTCCTTCCTTTACCTGATGTGCTGGGATTGGAACCCAGAACCTCTTGTAAACTAGGCAAGCACTCTACCACTCAGCTGCACCCCCAGACCCTATGTGTTCATTTTTTGTGTGTGATACTTAGGAGTGGAATTGATGGGTCATATGGTAATTGTGTGTGTGTGTGTGTGTGTGTATATATATATATGTATAT